CCAGCACGCGCAGCAGCAGCGGCTCGGGCAGCTCGTCCAGGTACGCAGTCGCAGCCTCCTCCTCCTCCTCCTGGTCCTCCGGCCGCTCCTCCTCGGCGCTCACCTCCTCCGGCTGCTCCTCCGGGCTTGCCTCCTCCGGCTGGCCCACGCTCTCTGCAGGTAGGGGTGGGTGGGGGGCTGTGACTCCCCCACGCTGTCCCCTCCATGCCCCAGGACTGCAATGTACCTGTATCCTCCCCACCCACCGTGGGACAATCCACAGCTGGGGCTGGAGATTCCATGACTCCAGACTGGTGTCCAAGGAGGAGGGCCACAGGGCCACACACCAACCCTGGATCAGCCCCCAAGTCCAAAGAGGTGCCTGTTTCCTCAGTTGGACCAGTCAACTCCAGGCTTGGGCAGATACATAGCAGCAAGGATCATATTATTATTATCAATGACGTCTATCTATAGCACTGCCCTAACCCTTACACACAGGAACTCCTTTCATTCTCCCAAGCACAATCTGAGATCCCTGCTCCCCTCACCTCCTCAGGAAGCCTTCTGGGACTTCTCCCATGACACGCCCCCCCCCACACACACACACACAGCCATTCCTAGCTTTTTTTCCTGGGGTGTGATCCTGTGATAAACACCTGTCTTTGGCCTCATGAGGGCCAGAACATGGACTGGAAAACACACAGCTTCATGCCCTGTGCCTGGCATCTGGCACCTTGCCCGGTGTGTTGTCAGCTCATGTGTTGGGCTGCTCAGCAAGTGTTAGGGACTGTCCAAAGCATTTCAACTTCATTTGCTCTTTAAATTCTCATACCAGCTGGGCACCGTGGCTCTTGCCTGTAATCCCAGCACTTTGGGAGGCTGAGACAAGCAGATCACAAGGTCAGGAGTTCGAGACCAGCCTGACCAACATTGTGAAACCCTGTCTCTACTAAAAATATGTAAAAACTTTAGCCAGGCATAGCGGTGCGCGCCTGTAATCCCAGCTACTTTTAGGAGGCTGAAGGAGGAGAATCGCTTGAACCCAGGAGGCGGAGGTTGCAGTCAGCCAAGATCGTGCCACTGCACTCCAGCCTGGGAGACAGAGACTCCGTCTGAAAAAAAAAACAACCAACCAAAAAAAACAAACAAACAAACAAAAAAACCAGAAAGTAAAAGTAAATCCTCATATTATTTGAGGTTGCTCTTATTGCTGTCCTTTATTTTTTCTTTTCTTTTCTTTTCTTTTTTTTTTTTTTGAGCTGGAGTTTCACTCTTGTTTTTCAGGCTGGAGTTCAATGGCATGATCTCGGCTCACCGTAACCTCTGCCTCCTAGATTCAAGCAATTCTCCTGCCTCAGCTTCCCAAGTAGCTGGGATTACAGCCAAGTGCCACCACGCCCAGCTAATTTTTTGTACTTTTAATAGAGACGGGGTTTCTCCATGTTGGTGACGCTGGTCTCAAACTCTCGACCTCAGGTGATCCGCCCACCTTAGCCTCCCAAAGTGCTGGGATTACAGGCATAAGCCATGGCACCCGGCCTGCGGTCCTTATTTCACTGATGAGGAAACTAAGGCACAAAGAGGTGAAACAGCCCAGGATCACATGGCTAATCAGTGGTTGGAGCCTGGATTTGAACCCAGACAGTCTGACTCCAGAGCCATCTTAAATCATCACAGCCTCCACAAAATAATTCACTGAATTAGTAGGCAGTGTTAGGATTTTGACTTTTCTGGTTTTTTTGTTTTTGTTTTTGTTTTGAGATGGAATCTTGCTCTGTCATCCAGGCTGGAGAGCAGTGGTGCAATCTCTACTCACTGCAACCTCTGCCTCCCGGTTCAAGTGATTCTTCTGCCTCAGCCTCCCAAGTAGCTGGGATTATAGGCATGTGCCACCACGCCTGGCTAATTTTTGTTTTTGTTTGTTTGTTTTTTGTTTTTTTGAGATGGAGTTTCGCTCTTGTTACCCAGGCTGGAGTGCAATGGTGTGGTCTCGGCTCACCGTAACCTCCGCCTCCTGGGTTCAGGCGATTCTCCTGCCTCAGCCTCCTGAGTAGCTGGGATTACAGGCATGTGCCACCATACCCAGCTAATTTTTTGTATTTTTAGTAGAGACGGGGTTTCACCATGTTGACCAGGATGGTCTCGATCTCTTGACCTCGTGATCCACCCGCCTCGGCCTCCCAAAGTGCTGGGATTACAGGAGTGAGCCATCTCGCCCAGCCAACTTTTCTTTTTAAAGATGCAGTCTCACTATGTTGCCCAGGCTGGCCTCCAACTCCTAGACTCAAGCAATCCTCCTGCCTCAGCCTCCCAAAGTGCTGGGATTACAGTCATGCTCCACCACACCCAGGCCAGGATTTTAACTTTGCAAGTGCAAATGCTCAGGCTCAGGGATGAAGTGACTTGTTGAAGGACACATTGCCAGGATTTAAGGAAGGGGACATGGGACCTGAGGCCTTCAGGCTTTGTGTGACTTGGGGATGAGGAGGGACTCATTAAAAGAAACTGTATCAAGCAAGGAGAGGACATAGGGGCTTGGGGAAGGACGCTTTCTCCACCTCTTCTTTCTCCTCCCCTGGCCCTCAGTTTTCTCATCTATAAAATGGGGGTAATCGTTGTGCCAGGCCATACAGACAGGACAGATGTCCAAATCCCCTGAGGAGGGAGGTGAGGGCATTCTGAATTGTAAAGAGGTAGGCAGATGTCACCGCGGCAGCTGGACTGTCTTTTGGATCCCAGTCGGCTTCAGCTGGGCTGTCACAGCCCTGAGTAAATGGACACCGAGTGCCCCAGATGCCTGGATGAGGGAGAGCCAGTGAGGAGACAGGGCCACTCTGGGTGATCAGGGAGACCACAGCTCTCAGATCTACGAACGCAGAGTTCCTGAGGGCTAGGCCCGGAGAGCCAAGGCAGTGGTGGGCACAGTCCAGGCACTAGGGAAGGGGACAGGTGGCAGGGCCCAGACCCAAGTCTCCAGGCCCGCCAGCCCCTAACGTCCTCACATGCAGCCTCACCTCCCTGCCCAACACACAGTCAGGCCCTTGAGAGCTTTTTCAGAGCCCAGAGCACACAGTGAGTCCTCAGTCTTCCTGAGTGAACCTCACTGAACACAGCACTTCTTCCTTGTTAGTTTTGTTTTGTTTTTTTTTTTTTTGGCCACATCTTTATGATGTGAGGATTTACACCTGCCCCTTTGACAAAGAGGCAAGGGGGAACAAAAGGGGCTCAATGGCTTCCCCCAGACCACATCACAGAACAGCGGGAAGACAGAGGAAAAGGCCAGGCCTGAAGCCACATCACCTGCCCATGCGAATGCCCTCAGCTCTCTGGGGAGCTGGGCCCAGTGTCCTCACCTCTCCAGTCCTCCCCCTCCCCGGCCCTGGCCCCAGTGGACACCTGATGCTCCCCGAAAGGTGCACTTCACCCAGTCCCCTGTCCTGGCCCCGGGGCCTGGCACTGGAGGCCCCAGATCCAGTTACAGTTCCCCCCACCCTCTCTCTTGCACACACAACTCCCCACATTGTAGCTGGCGGAAAGTTATCTGGCTCGTGGAAGCTGCCTGCCTGCGAGGCTGATTCGCTCACCTGGATTGGGCCCCAGAGTCCAGGGAATAGCTGAGCCCTGGCAAAAAGCAGGAGCCAGTTCTGTAGCCCTACAGAGGGTGTGGCCAGAAGGCCAGGGATTGGGAGCAAGGGCTGCAGGTGCTGGTATTTTCACCGCTGGAGTTGGGGGGTGGTATTGGGGGCCTGAGCTTCCATCAGTCTGTTTGCCACCACCTACCCCAAGCAATGCCCACCCCCAGCTGGACCTGATGAGGAAAGAGTGGTGGCTGTCTGCAGGCAGGTCTTGTTCCCATCCTGACTCAGCAGGCCTAACAGGGAATTGGAGGTATGGGGGTGGGGGGTCTTGGGTGCCAGAGAGGATGACTGGGCACTCTGGGAGGGCCCAGAGCACCAGCCAGAGCTGCCCCCAACGCTCCCTCACCGCTGGCCCGGTCCTCACTGGGCATCTCACCACCCCGGGGAGGGGAAGCCCCTCCAGGCAAGAGCGCTCAGGAGGAAGGCAGGGATAGGTGAGGCCAGGCCAGGGACCCCAAGGAATCCACGGGGATTCAGGCGGCCCCAGAGCCAGAGCTGGCACATGGCAGAGCTGATGGAAGAAAAGGCTCGCAACCTCTGTCCCAGACGCTTCCCAGGCCCCCGCCAGACAGAAAGCTGGAAGGCGGGAATGTGGGGGTCCTCTGGTGCTACTTCCTGGCTAGATGGGACCCAGGAGTCCTCCCTCCCTGCCGGTCGCCTCTCATGGCCTCCCGCCAGACCGAGGTAGCAGAGAGATGTGCTCTTTGAAGACCGCCTCTAGGACTTTGCTGGCGTGAAAGTTTGCCCGCCGGGTCTCGGGGGCCCCCTCGCTCTCTGACGCCCCTCCGTGCGGCGCTCGCCCGCCGACCCCGTCTCCCCTCCCCGCCGCAGCGAGCGGTGCAGGCGGCGGCTACCTGGGTCACCGTCTCCGTCCATCGCTGCGGAGGGCGGTCGCTAGAGGAGGAGCCGGAGCGCTGCAGGCTGCGTGAGTCCCGGGGCGGCGAGTCCCGGCGCAGTCCGCGTCTGGGTCGGTCCCCGCGGCCGCGCCTCTTAAAGGCCCCCGCCCCGCCCCGCCCCGCCTCTGGCCGGGCGCCCGGCGGCCCCGCAGTCCCAGCAGCCGGCCCGAGGCCCGGGGCCGCAGGTTCCTCAGCGGACCCAGGAGGCTGGGAAAGGTCAGGAGTTGGATTATGTTAAATTGGGGAGGGGTCCGATATGGGGCATCTCCCAGCTAACTCCTGGAGGGCTGCTGGGAGGAGGCGGCGAGGGGAGGCAGGGAGAGGTCGGGTCAGGCTGAGGGTGCGGGGCGGGTGGCCCAGATGGAGTCGGGGGGTAGGAGGCGCTTTCCGCCCCACCCCCCCCAGCCCAGGTAATTTTCCTACGCTGCGGTCGGGGGCACGTCCCTGGCCCCGCGCAGCGCTGCGCGGAGCAGGGCGAGGGGGCGGGGCCTGGCGGTCTGGGGCGGGGCCAACTTCCCGGGCGAGCGCAGGCCCAGTTGGTGAAGCCCGGGAGGCTGAGCGGATAGTGCCGCGGCGGCCGAGCGCAGGTGACTGGCGGGAGGGGGCACGGGGGGCGCTGGGGAGGGGGTGCGGCCCGGCGGGGGCTGCCGGGTGGGCTCCTGGGTTCCCAGTCGCGCCGCAGTTGCCGAGGAAGGCCTGGCACCGACCAGGCCCAGGCCGCGCTACGCGGCCGCGAACCCGGGCTGGGGTCGCCACCGATGTGCAGGCGTCCGAGCCCAGACTTTGGGCGAGGGGGACATCTTAAAGCACAGCGTGGGAAGCGGAGGCTGCAGGCGCGCTGGCGGACTTGAGGCAGGAGGAGCCCAACCGCGGGGCTCGGGGTGGGGGTGGGGAGGTAGAAAGGGCCTTTCCCTGTCGCCGACCCTCTTGTCACTCCCAGCTAGGCAGGTCTTTTCTTCTGAGATCTTGAGAAGCTGGCTGCAGCCTTTTGGACCTCCGCGAGAGGCAGTGATAATTAGCGCCCTCCTCCCATCACGTTCCGAGGATGGGAGAGAGGATGGTGACGGCACAGGAGGCCTGCGGTGCTCTGCCGGCCTGCGAATTACAGCCCCATTAATGGCTGTCTGGCCCACTGAAAAAGGCTGGCCCCGGAATCACAGAAGATCCGGGCTCCTGCCCCCTCTACCTTTATGTTTGTTTGACCTTGGGCACTGCTTTCCACCTCCTGTGGGAGGCCAGAGAAAAAAAATGACAGCTCCGCTTTTATTAGAGCACCTGATGTGTCCCAAGCCCCTTGGACGGCCCCAGTGACCCCTGGAGGTAAAGCACCCATTTGCAGAGAAGGAAACTGAGGCTGGGAGAGACACCATGAGTCTCCTGAGATAAAGGGCAGAGCAGGGATGAGGGATGAGGCCTGCAGCATAGCTTTTCAACAGCCACAGGAGGGTGTCCAGAAACCACCAGCCATGGCCGTGGGAAACATCAACGAGCTGCCGGAGAACATCCTGCTGGAGCTGTTCACGCACGTGCCGGCCCGCCAGCTGCTTGTGAACTGCCGCCTGGTCTGCAGCCTCTGGCGGGACCTCATCGACCTGGTGACCCTCTGGAAACGCAAATGCTTGCGAGAGGGCTTCATCACCGAGGACTGGGACCAGCCTGTGGCTGACTGGAAGATCTTCTACTTCCTTCGGAGCCTGCACAGGAACCTCCTGCACAACCCGTGCGCTGAAGGTGGGATACAGGCTGGGTCTGCCATGCCGCCAGTACACACACTGCCATGACACCAGTAATCTGTACTGAGCCCTTAGTATAAGCCGGGTACTTGGATGGTTTAACTCCTTTCTCCTCTCACAGTTGCCCGAAGAGGTGGGTACTGATAGTGCACACATTTTTCAGATGGGCAGACTGAGGCCAAGAGTGGTGTTTCTTATTGTTTTTTTTTTTTTTCCTCTCTCTTTTTTTGAGATGGAGTTTCACTCTGTCACCCAGGCTGGAGTGCAGTGGAGCAATCTTGGCTCACTGTAACCTCTATCTCCTGGGTTCAAGCAATTCTCCTGCCCCAGCCTCCCAAGTAGTTGGGATTACAGGCATGCGCCATTACACCTGGCTAATTATTTTGGGGGTTTTTTGTTGTTCTTTTTGTATTTTTTTGAGACAGAGTCTCACTCTGTTGCCCAGGCTGGAGTGCAATGGTGCAATCTTGGCTCACTGCAACCTTTGCCTCCCAGGTTCAAGTGATTCTCCTGCCTCAGCCTCCTGAGCAGCTGGGATTACAGGTGCCTGCCTGTAACACACCCAGCTAATTTTATGTATATTTAGTAGAGACGGGGTTTCACCATGTTGACCAGGCTGGTCTCAAACTCCTGGCCTCAAGTGATGTGCCTGCCTTCGCCCCACTAAGTGCTGGGATTACACATGTGAGCCACTGTGCCCAGCCTCTTATTCTACTCTTAAGATTATTTATTCAGTGACCTTTCCTAGGAAAGGAAATGTTGGCCAACTGGGACGAATTCTTCTCAAGACCCAGCCAGGGCCACTGCGCTCCAGTCTGGGCAACAGAGCAAGACTCTGTCTCAAAAAAAAACAAAAAACAAAAAAAACGCAACACAAGGCCAGGAAGGTCAGACCTATAATTTGTTCCCAGGCTCCAGGGTTGGTCCTACTGACACAGTCCCTAGAGGGCCAAAGGGGTTTTGCTTGTGGGAGAAGAATGGGACATCCAGCCTTCTTCCCAATATGTTACAACAGGTAAAGCAAGGCTTCTACAGCTCCTCGTTTGCTGGGTTGTCAGGTAGACACTGAGATGGGATGGGGACCTCGTTTTCCGCAACATGACCAAATTCTGGAGCAAAAGGGTAATAAAACAGCTCCTCCAAGCTGTGCATGAGCCAAATCTGGCTAAGGCATTAAGAATTGTTTTATGCCAGGCACGGTGGCTCATGTCTGTAGTCCTAGCACTTTGGGAAGCCAAGGCGGGCGGATCACCTTGAGGTCAGGAGTTCAAGACCAGCCTGGCCAACATGGTGAAACCCTGTCTCTACTAAAAATACAAAAATTTAGCTAGGCGTGGTATATTGGCAGGCAATATAACCCCAGCGAGTCGGGAGGCTGAAGCAGGAGAATTGCTTGAACCCGGGAGGTAGAGGTTGCAGTAAGCCGAGATTGCACCATTGCACTCCAGCCTGGGTAACAAGAGCGAAACTCCGTCTCAAAAAAAAAAAAAGGAAGCTGGGCGCGGTGGCTCACGCCTGTAATCCCAGCACTTTGGGAGGCGGAGGTGGGTGGATCATGAGGTCAAGAGATCGAGACCATCCTGGTCAACATAGTGAAACCCCGTCTCTACTAAAAATACAAAAAATTAGCTGGGCATGGTGGCGCGTGTCTGTAATCCCAGCTACTCAGGAGGCTGAGGCAGGAGAATCGCCTGAACCCAGGAGGCGGAGGTTGCGGTGAGCCGAGATCGCGCCATTGCACTCCAGCCTGGCTAACAAGAGCGAAACTCCGTCTCAAAAAAAAAGAAAAAAAAAAGGATCATTTTTACATTTTTAAAGGGTCATAAAAAAAGAAGAAGAAACAACAAAAAACCATGCAGTAGAAATAGTATGTAGTCTGAAAGCCAAAAAGCTTCCCAGCCCCTGTTCTTACTCCAGCTTACAGAGGAGACAACCAAAGCTTAGAGAGGAAAAGCAATTGGCCCAAGGTCACATAGCCAAGTACTGGTCAAGCTGGGATTAGACCCATGTCTATCTGGCCCACATCATAGTGTTGTTCTCCATCACAGAAGGGGTCTGGCCATTCGCATCACCAAGTGTCTCAGGGCCCCCAGGGAAATCACCTCCCTGTGCCTTTGACACAGGAAGCACCTAATACTCAGTGGGCACTGTGATCCTCAGCGTCCCACAGCACAGGGCTTGAGGGCAGCCGCCAAGATGCAAGCAGAGGAGCAGGGAGGAAGGGGGATGGGGAGAAGGTGGCCACAGAGGGGCTTCCTTTCAGTGTGAACTCTGCTTTTCCACTAGAGGGGTTCGAATTCTGGAGCCTCGATGTGAATGGAGGTGATGAGTGGAAGGTGGAGGATCTCTCGAAAGACCAGAGGAAGGAATTCCCCAATGACAAGGTCAAGAAATACTTCGTGACTTCATATTAGTAAGATTCGGGGACTTGGGGTCGGGGAAAGCCCAAATCAGTTTATCCTGGGGTCTCTCCTACCCCAGGAAGGGGCAGTCCTAGACCCTCACTGCCCTAGTGGTGGGCCCCAGCCCCTCCCACCCCTCTGCCTGCCCCCAGCACCTGCCTCAAGTCCCAGGTGGTGGACCTCAAGGCTGAAGGGTATTGGGAGGAGCTGATGGATAACACACGGCCGGACATCGAGGTCAAGGACTGGTGAGTGCCTGGGGCGAGGGTCTGGGGTGGGGGCATGCCACTCAGGCGCCCCACCCCCGCCCTGCCCCCAATCTTCGAGGCCCTGATGGGCCCTCCCACTCCCTGCAGGTTCGCAGCCAGGCCAGACTGCGGGTCAAAGTACCAGCTGTGCGTTCAGCTCCTGTCGTCCGCTCACGCGCCTCTGGGGACCTTCCAGCCAGACCCGGCGACCATCCAGCAGAAGAGCGATGCCAAGTGGAGGGAGGTGCGTGGGTCTGGGAGGCAGAGGCAGAGGCAGAGGCAGAGGCAGATCATCCAAGGCCGAGGCTGCAGTCAGATGGGCCGAGGTTCAGATCCAAGCTCTGCGCTTTCTCACCTGTGCTTCCAATGCTCTGGGCTTCACTCACCGCTTCTATAAAACGGGTATATAGTGTTTCCCTCATAGAGCTCCGAAAGAAATGATGAAATGACGCTGGTGAAGCCAGAGCCAAAAAATATTTCAAAACGTTGGCCAGGTGTGGTGGCTCACGCCTGTAATCCCAACACTTTGGGAGGCCAAGGAGGCCAGATCACCTGAGGTCAGGAGTTTGAGATCAGCCTGGCCAATATGGAGAAACCCTGTCTCTACTAAAAACACAAAATTAGCCAGGTGTGGTGGCACATGCCTGTAATCTCAGCTACTCGGGAGGCAGAGGCAGGAGAATTGCTTGAACCCGGAGGTGGAGGTTGCAGTGAGCCAAGATTGTGCCACTGCACTCTAGCCTGGGCAAAAAGAGCAAAACTCCATCTCAAAAAAAATCCAAAAGGTTGACAGTTAGTAATTACTAATATTGATTATTATTGTTTTCTAGACTTGGGTCAGCAAATTTGTTTTAATTTACTTATTTTTAGGGACAGGGTCTCTGTCACCCAAGCTGGAGTGCAGTGGCACATTCACTGATATCACCGCAGCCTCAAACTCTTAGGCTCACGCCGTCTTCTTGCCTCAGCCTCCTTAGTAGCTGGGAATGCAGGTGCTGCCACCACACCCAGCTAATTAAAAGAATTTTTTTTTTTTTTTGTAGAAACAGAGTTTTGCTTTGTTGCCCAGGCGGATCTTGAACTCCTGGCCTCAAGGCATCCTCCCACCTCAGCCTCCAAAGTGCTGGAACTGCAGGCATGAGCCACTGTACCCAGCCCTAGCAAATGCTTTCTTAAAAGGGCTGATATGAATATGTTAGATTTCGCAAGTCACACTGTCTGTCACAACTGCTCAACTCTCCACAGCTCTAGACAACATGGAAACAAATGGACGTGGCTGTGTTCCAGTAAAACTTTATTTATAAAAGCAGGCAGTGGGCCTGCTGGCCATCGTCTGTCACCCCAGCCTTATCCAGTAGAACTTTCTGTAGTGGTAGAAATGGTCTCTGTCTACGCTACCCAGTAAGGTAGCCAGTAGCTACATGTGACCACTGGACAGTTAGTAAGAGCCAGTTCCAAGTGCAACTGAATACCTTTTCTATTTCACCCAATTTTACTTAATTTTAACGTAAATGATACATGTGCCCTGTGATAAGGGTATGGGATATCCTTGGCAGCTTGCAATTTCTTTCCATTTCTTTGGGCTGAATGAATGACAATCCCACGGAGTATACCAGCAGGATTTTGCTCCATTTTACAGATGAGGAAACTGAGGCACGGGGAAAGACAGTGGTCTGCTCAAAATCACAGAGCTAGAGCTAGAACTCCATTCTGCTGAATTCTGGTCCAGCACCAAGAACTCAGCCACTTCTTGTTCCCCTGCCCCACCTCAGGCAGCGCCACACTCAGGGTCAGCTCCCCCAACCCCAACGCCTTTTTTTTTTTTTAAGGCTCATTTTCTTTTCTTTTTTTTCTTTTTGAGACGGAGTTTCACTCTTGCTACCCAGGCTGGAGTGCAATGGCGCGATCTCGGCTCACCGCAACCTCCGCCTCGTGGGTTCAGGCGATTCTCCTGCCTCAGCCTCCTGAGTAGCTGGGATTACAGGCACGCGCCACCATGCCCAGCTAATTTTTTGTATTTTTAGTAGAGACGGGGTTTCACTATGTTGACCAGGATGGTCTCGATCTCTTGACCTCGTGATCCGCCTGCCTCAGCCTCCCAAAGTGCTGGGATTACAGGCGTGAGCCACTGCGCCCGGCCCAAGGCTCATTTTCTTTAATTTCTTTTGTATTTCAGAAACAGGGTCTCTGTTGCCCAGGCTGGAGTGCAGTAGCGTGATCACAGCTCACTGCAGCCTTGACCTCCTGCCTCAACCTGTACTGCTACCTCAGCCTGCCTTGGACTATGGGCACACGCCACCATGCCTGGCTAATTTTTTTTTTTTCTTGTAGAGATGGTACCTCACTATCTCTGGTTTGCAACCAGACTGGTCACAAACTCCTGGACTCAAACAATCCTCCCACCTCCGCCTTCCAAAGTACTGGGATTCCAGGTGTAAGGCACCACACCCAGCCCGAGTCAGCTCCCTTGACCTCTCTCCCCACTCTGCCTGCCCCACCAGGTCTCCCACACGTTCTCCAACTACCCGCCCGGCGTCCGCTACATCTGGTTTCAGCACGGCGGCGTGGACACTCACTACTGGGCCGGCTGGTACGGCCCGAGGGTCACCAACAGCAGCATCACCATCAGGCCCCCGCTGCCCTGACACCCCCTGAGCCCCCATCTGCTGAACCCTGACTGGTAAACAACTGTTGTCAGAAAAGGGCTGGGCTTGGGAAGGGGAGGTGGTGGCCAGGCATCCCCAGACCTCTGACTTCACTCTTGCCCCCAGCCACCTCTTCTTTGTGGAGCCTCTTAGTGTGGGTAGCCCTCTTGATGAATAATGGCCAGGGAAGCCTGCATAGGCCCCTTTCAGAGACAGAGCATCCTGAGATGTGGGAGGCGCAGGGTGTTCCCCTGGGCCCCTCAGAAAGTTGAGCTTGGAGGCCATCCTGGATCTCTCTCCCTCCCTGTCCTGGGACCATTCTCCCTGTGTTCCTTGAAGACCCTCAGAGCAGGGACAGGAAACACATCTGGCAAGCTTGCAGCTGCCCTCATGGTGCAGGTGCAGGGAGGTGACCGTGTAACTCAGACTGATCTGGGACGTGGAGGGCGGGCTCATGGGCTGTGCTCTGCCCCATCTGCTGCTTGCAGTCTCTGGCTCTGCCTGCCTACTCAGAAGAGGTGGGTTGGCTCGGAGGCTCAGGCCTGGTCTGAGATGGGCAGACCCAGGGTGGGGTGGGGTCCAGGATGGGTGTGGACCGTCCTCACCATCAGTGAAGCCCCAGAAGCTAGATGGGTAGCAGGTAGGGGTCAAGTTCCCAGAGGACGGAGGTAATCCTGCACAGGATGTCCCAGGGCAGGTGGGGAGCAGGACAGGACCTGATGCTGACAGCCGGACACGTGAGCCCTGGATGAGCGCGGTAGGGGTTTCGAAGGATCGCCTGTCCACCTCCCAGATCCAGGCAAGGCCCCCTCTGGCTTGGAGAGCATTCCAAGCCCCCACCCCACCCCTAGAGCTGCCATTCCCAGGACCTCTCTAATCCCACTCAGCCACCCTTGGAACTCACCTCTTGTCCTGTTGGAAGGACAGCCGTGTTCTCCTGACCTCACCCTACTGCATGCAGCCAAATAAAAGGTGTGCCCAGCCTAACCTGTGCCCTGTGGTTTCTGGAAGGAAAGGCAGACTTTAGGCAGTCCTGCCCGGATCTGCAGATGGTCCAATGGTGTGGCTTCTGTCTAAGGTACAAAGGGGTTGACATTTCAGGAACCAGGCCATCACAGAAGCAGGTTCATGGGACAGACCCCTCAGGGTGCTGCAGGTGTCTCACCTGGTAGCCATCCAGTACTGCTGGCTACCTCTGGAGGCCCAGCCACAGGCTGGGGTTGGGATTGGGTGGACATCTCTGGGCAGCCTTTGAGTCCACCTCATGCCAGACCAGCAGTGCCACCCAGGCACTGCCTCCCGGTGTTACTGTTTGCCAAGAGCTTTACGTTGGATGAAGCCGAAGCATTTAGAATGGTGCCTGACACACAGTAGGTGCTTGATATGGTTAAGTTTTGTGTTCCCCACCCAGATTTTACCTTGAATGGTAATTCCAGGTGTTTAAGGAGAGACCTGGTGGGAAATGATTGGATTATGGGGGCGGTTTTCCCCATGATGTTCTCATGATAGTGGCTGAGCTCTCACGAGATCTGATGGTTTTACACGTGCCGATTTCCCCGGCTCCCTCCTGCCACCATGTGAAGAAGGTCATTGCTTCCCCTTCACCTTCCACCATAATTGTAAGTTTCTTGAGGCTTCCCCAGCCATGTGGAACTGTGTCAATTAAACCTCATTCCTTTATAAATTACCCAGTCTCAGGTATTTCCTTATGTCATTGTGAACATGGACTAATACTGGTCTCAGTAAGTACAACTTACATTTAGTTATCTCAATCAAGGGTGAGCTAGATAAGGGCCAGGGTGGGGTCACCACCCACCAGCCCATGGCAAACTGCAGAAGGACGGCCTTCCACGGAGAAGATGCAACCCTGACTGCAATTAATTCAGCCTGGGCCAGTCCCCTTGTGCAGTGCACAGCCTGCACAACCCGTGGTGGTGGCCTGAACAAGGTGCTTGCTAAATATTTGTTGACTGTTGGAAGAAATTCATGAACTTAATCCTGACAAAAAAACAGAGGTTTTTGTTTTTTGAGACAAGGTCTTGCTTTGTCGCCCAAGCGACAAGGACTGCAGTGGTACAGTCTCGGCTCACTGCAGCCTCCCAGGTTCAAGATCGATTCTCCCGGCTCAGCCTCCGGAGTAGCTGGGATTACAGACATGTGCCACCACGGCCTGCTTTTATATATATATATATATAATTTTTTTTTTGGAGACAGAGTTTCAGTCTGTCATCAGGCGCCAGGCTGGAGTGCAGTGGCACGACCTCGGCTCACTGCAGTCTCCGCCTCCCGGGTTCAAGCAATTCTCCTGCCTCAGCCTCCCGAGTAGCTGGGACTACAGGCGCGCGCCACCACGCCCAGCTAATTTTTTTGTATTTTTAGTAGAGACGGGGTTTCACCATGTTGACCAGGATGGTCTCGAACTCCTGACCTCAAGCGATCCACCCGCCTTGGCCTCCCACTGCGAGAGTCACCACGCCCGGTCCCTCACGGCTTTTTTTTTTTTTTTTAACCTCTGAGGCCTACGGAGGTGACGCCCTAGGAAGGACCCTCTGGAGCCCAGTGCTCAGCTCCCGCCTCCAGGGAGGGTCGGGGGAGCTGCCGTAGGGTCCGGGGACTTGCCCTGTGGAGGAAGCGGGTGCCGTTGCTGAGCTGCCCGCCGCCTGGAGGTGGAGACTCAGCTTCAGGACACGCAGGCCGGCCGCCGCCAGGGCGCAAGTCCCGGGGACCCCAGGTTCGTCTTCCCGGGGCGAGGGGGCGGGGCGGGGCGGGGCCGGGCGGGGCCGGGACTCGGGTGGGGACCGAGCGCGGCGCGTGACGCAACTACGCCGCGGCCGAGGCCTTACGCTGGGGCCGACCGGGAGCTCCGCCGCTGTGCCGGAGTCGGGGACTCGGGTCGCCGGCACCGGAGCGTTCACGCAGCCCGTGGGTGCTGGTCCGCGCGGCCGGGGGCGGTGGGGCGCGGGCCGCTGAGCCGGGACTCCGACGGGGGGCCTGGCTCCGGGACCGCCCAGGCGGCAGCGCTGCAGCGGCGGCCCTCCCAGTCACATCCCGAGGCCGGCGCCGGGTTCGGAGAACGGTCGGGGGGACCTCCAGGCTCCCACGCGCCTGCGAAATCCGGCGGCTGCCTTTCCTCCGCCACAGTTTCTGTTTCTGAGAAACCGAGGAAGTAAGAGCGCCCCGAGGGCTTGCTGGGAGGGTGGGCGCGGAGAAGGCGAGCACCGGACTCCAGGCCAGACACTTGGGGACCCCAGTCGGTGTGACGGGACTTCCTAGGGTTGGCGTGGACTTCCCCCTCCACAAAATGCCTCGGGCGGGGGCGCAAGAAAACGCCGACAGCCAGAGACCAGACTTCGGTCACCACGGTGGAAAGCCATTGGTGCCTAGACACCTCTAGCTTGGAGCCCAGTGGCTTTTATTTGGTCTACAGTCTAGACAGTGCCTTTAGAAGTTGCCAGCATTTATTTATTTTATTCATATTTTGTAGGCAGAGTCTTGCCCTGTCACCCAGGCTGGAGTGCAGTCGCCCGATGAGGGCTCACTGCAGCCTGGACTTCTGGTCTCAAGCAATCCTCCTACCTCAGCCTCCTGAGTAGCTGAGACTACAGGCTCACGCCACGAGGCCTAGCTGATTTGTTTTTTTCTTTCTTTGAGACAGAGTCTTGCTCTGTCACCAAGGCTGGAGTGCAGTGGGGCGATCTCAGCGCACTCCAACCTCCGCTTCTGGGGTTTAAGCGATTCTCCTGCCTCAGCCTCCTGAGTGGCTGGAAATACAGGCGCCCACCACCATGTCTGGCTAATTTTTGTATTTTTAGTAGAGACTGGGTTTCACCATATTGGCCAGGCTGGTCTCGAACTCATGACCTTGTGATCCATCTGCCTCAATCTCCCGAAGTGCTGGGATTACAGGCATGAGCCATTGCGGCGCCTGGCCTAATTTCTTTTTTTCTAGGGAGAAGAGACTCGCTATGTTGCCCAGACTACAAGCATTTTTAATTGACAAGTTTTACTTTTTTTTTCTTTTCTTTTTTTTTAAATTTTTAAATTTTTATTTTTTTAAAGGTGGGATTTCACCATGATGGCCAGGCTGGTCTTGAACTCCTGACCTCAGGTGATCCACCCACCTCTGCCTCCCAAAATGCTAGGATTACAGGCATGAGCCACAGCGCCCAGCCAGTTTCACTTTTTTTTTTTTTTTTTTTTTTCAAATGCTTACAGTTGCTTCTCAACACTTAGAAGACTTGACCACATTGGGTTTTTTCCATCAAAACATTTTTCCTTTTTTTTTTTTTTTTTTTTTTTTTTTTTGAGGCGGTCTTGCTCTGTTGCCCAGGCTGGAGTGCCATGGCCCAGTCATGGCTCACAGGCTAGCGGGCTCCTTCCTTCCCTAGCGTGTGACCTCAGCAGGCCTCATGGACTCTTAAGGTAAAAAAACCTCTGGCCGGGCACAGTAGCTCAAGCCTGTAATCCCAGCACTTTGGGAGGCCGAGGTGGGTGGATCACGAGGTCAAGAGATCGAGACCATGCTGGTCAACATAGTGAAACCCCGTCTCTACTAAAAATACAAAAAATTAGCTGGGCATGGTGGCGCGTGCATGTAATCCCAGCTACTCAGGAGGCTGAGGCAGGAGAATTGCCTGAGCCCAGGAGGCGGAGGTTGCGGTGAGCCAAGATCGCGCCATTGCACTCCAGCCTGGGTAACAAGAGCGAAACTCTGTCTCAAAAAAAAAAAAAAAAAAACTCTGAGGGGCCAGGTGCGGTGGCTCACACCTGTGGGCCACTGCCACCTTGACCTCCTGGGCTCAGAAGATCCTTACACCGTAGCTTCCCAAGTAGCTGGGACCACAGGCACCTCGCCACTATGCCCGGCTAATTTTTTCACTATTTATAGAAACAGGAAGTCCCTGAACTGCCAAGGTTGCAAAGTATTTTTCACAAGACACAAGTACCTCACCTGTTTGCTTTGCTCTGCCGTGCTAAAATGTTCTTCCATGACCAGGAGCCAGCATGCACCCACCCTCCTGTTTTCTGGGGTGGGAGCTCTCTATGAACTGCTGCTTTAGCCAAGCCTCTATGAAAAATCAGAAGAGGTCAGCAAAAGGCTGGGTGTGGTGGCTCACGCCTGTAATCCCTACACTTTGGAAGGCCAAGGTGGGTGGATCACCTGAGGTCAGGAGTTCAAGACCAGCCTGGCCAACATGGTGAAACCTGTCTCTACTAAAAATATAAAAATTAGCCGGGCATGGTGGCAGGTACTTGGGAGGCTGAGGCAGGAGAATCACTTGAACCCAGGAGGCGGAGGTTGCACTGAGCTGAGATCACACCATGACACTCCAGCCGAGTGACAAGAGCGAAACTCTGTCTAAAAAAAAAAAAAAAAAAAAAAAAAAAAAAGAGGCCAGCAAGTTTCTGTTTTTCTGCTTGTAGGTAGAAAACATTCTCTCCTCGTGCATAAGCAGACGGGGCCCACCTGGGTGACAGTGCAACGCCCTGGCTGCCAGCCCACCCCCACCTACCTGGGGCAAGTGCCTGGGATCCCGTTAGGGGACTAACCAGGTCCCCCCAGGTAAGAGATTCAGGCCAGGGCCGTGGCACTAACTTGAAGTTTTCCGGAACCCAAGTACAGTACAGAGGCAGAGGGAGGACAGTGTTGTGGGCAGGTTTGTGCTGGCGGCAATGCTGACGGAAGCTCTGTGCCCCACTTGGTCCTCCTGGCCCTTCCGGGTCGGGACAGTTACCCCCTCCTTTTCACAGCTTCCCAGCTAGTCACTGCAGGCCAGGATTGGAACCCAGGCAGTCTTCCCAGGCACCCTTCATCCGTTTGTTTTCCGGCAATCTCCAGGTGGAAATCTGGCCTGACACCCAAAGCAGCCCAGTCGGGTGCTGTGGGGGCTTCCTACTGGGTTGTTTTATCACATCTGACTTGCAGGCAAAAGTGAGCTGCTGAGGAGAAAGGTGGTGGTTTCTCAGCGCTAGCCCACCACTGAATG